ATTTTAATACATAAATTAAACTTAGTAAAGCAGTTTCTCTAATTGCAATAATTGATTTTAAAATTTCAGTATTAGGAATCTATTAAACTTGGAGTAGCTTTGTTCAAGTGAGAAATATATAAGAATTTCTTGAGAAACATTTATTTTGTCATTCACTATAGATGGAGTATTAAAAGTTTTACTGGATGTTCTTATTTTACTTTTACTTTTTCAAAGTACTCTAAAGGCTTAAGATGTTATTCACCATAAGTAAATCTTTGATTGCCTACTACATATTCAGATTTCTGGCTAGGGACGTTAAATGTTAAAAATGAAATTGGTCTTGGTCACCATTGCTAGTGTAGTATTAGGAAATAACCATGATAGCAAGTTAGGGTTCCATGATACAGAACCATTTACTCTGCTATTGATTTTTTCCTCCTTCACATGTTACTTCTTAGAAGGGATGATATTTCTATATCATTTATTAAATTTTCTAACATGCTTGATTTACTGTCGAATGCTCATTGGAGTAGCATATAGTCATCTATGTCATTTTTTTGGTTTTTCTTATCCTTTTTGGTTAATGAAATTACAGTGAGATTGATAAATTTATAAGTCAAATATATATAATGAATAAATATGTTGAAAATATTTTCACAGGAAAAGGAAGCTATACTTTTACAACTTAGGAAAGGAGGCTATTTGATTTAGAATTTTGAGGATGAAATTTTCAGTGAGTATTAAGGCCAGAGTTTTTGCTCTTGGTTTTTAAAAGACTTCAGCGAGCACCAGAGGGAGGATGGCATTATCCCAAGGACAAATAATAGTGCAACATTTCTACAGTATTTTTTTTAAACATTAAAAAAGAATCTAAAATGGCAATGATGGAAGTTAATATATAGGCCAGCAGACAAACCACCTGGAGATTTCACCTTTTACCTTAGGTATATCGTTTGGCCATCTTTTAGCTTCTCCCGCACCCCCTTTTCTTACAGTATGGTTCTTTCTGGGTTTCCTTTGGGGCATTTCATTTTGAATAAAGTTCACATGTATTTCTAAGCCTCATCCCAACATAGCTTTTCGGTGTCACTCGTGAAGGAAGCATGAAAAAGTACTCTGCACTACCTCACGCAAATCTGGAAAAAGTTTCATCCGCAGCAGAAAGCCGGCCATCTTTGGAATTATTTTTCAGTTCTTAGAAATAATTATTTCTCAAAATTTTAAATGGATGCTAATACTGGGTATAATCTATTACAGAAAAGGAAGGGAGTATAAACCAAATTCAGAAATTTTTAAAGTTTTATTTTGCTTACTGAATGAGAAAGAAAAGCAAGAAAGAAAAAGACTTAAAACCCAACAAGCCGTAGATCTTTAAAACGGAGGAGAGAGTTGTGCTTCGGTCATTTGAAAATATTTTGATACTTTCGAGAACTGATGAGATTCTTTCCTAGTCCAGGTATTCTTCGGAGTGTTGCTTTATATTTGTAACGATTTTAGTGCTGGTAGCTGTAAGATTTGGGAGCGGTCAGTCAACTTGTTTGCTTTCTTGAGTTTATATAGAGGTGAGAGAACTGAGGCAAAAGCACTATCTTAGGGTCCCTTCCTCCGGTGCCGTTCTAAGATTTATAAAATTAAGTGGGTAAATACAGCCCTCTAGTGTTTCTGTTACATACTTACGTCAGGGTGCCTAACCATTTCTCCAAAGTTTTTCTGATTTTAAGAAATTCACTGAAAAGAATCAGATTTTAATGTTACACGGTATAAAGAATATGGAAAAAAAGTAATAAGGATATCATCATTCTAACAAACGTTCATATTAATAATAGATTGTAACCCATTTTTCAGGTTACAACATGATAATCCAGAATATTAGAATTACCTTATACTTTATAATAGGAATTCAGATACTTTGTTGATATATGCTATTATTACTATCACCAGATAATATTAATTGCATATCAAACTGTAGGATAAATGAACTGAGGTAGATGGTGGAGTTGATCATGGTATATCCATGCTATGAAATATGGTTATTAATAAATTAGACTTATGTTTTTTGACCTGGAATTCATAATAAGGCTTTAGGGGAAAACAAGTTGCATAATGTATGTGTGTATATGTGTGTATTTGTTTATATATGCATGTTTGTTTAAAAGAAAAGTGGAGAAACCTCAAACTCTTGTATGAATATGTTTGCATAAGCAAAGAAAAGCATGAGAAAGGATATATGCCAAACAATATTGGTGCCTTTAGGGAAGTGAGGTTCAGAAGTATATGGGGAGATTACATCTTTATTTCTAATATTTAAATTGTTAAGAAAAAAACACAAAGGGAACCGAAATGGGAAAGCTCAAAGGATCATCAGAAAACAGGGACCTTAATCTGAATAGTTTCAAAGAACTAAGGCTGGCTTTTCATTTCAGAACTGATTTCTGCTGGAAGTCAGCTCCTGCACTGATTTTCTGAGTTTGTTTATTGATTTAAATGGGATGTGTGTGCTCGATAATCTCCTTACATATAAGACTGATGCCCCAGTTGGTTAGAATGCATGGTGCTTGGTGTTTTTGTTTTGCTAATAGGCTTTCCCCTTGTTCTGGGAATTAAAATCCTTTCCTATTTAGCCCAATTAAAAGTGTTCAGGGAGGGCCTCTATGAAAAGGCCCTTCTTTGAGATCTCTTAAGTGGAAATGATTGGTCCTGAAAAATCTTTTCTCAGTGGCTCAGAAAACAGTTCATAATTACTGAAGGCTTATTAGGAAGGCCGTTTCAATTCCTTCCCTCCAAAATGCTAAGGAATAATTTAGGCAACAATTCAGACTCTAAAAATGAAGATGGCTCGGTCTTTTCACAGACTGAACACAATATTGTTGCAACTTACTTGATTATGGCAGGTACGGATGTTTAATTATTTCATTAACAGCTATCTTGCTTTAGAATGAAGAAAAGCAGAGGTATTCAGCATACGGCGAAAGAAAGAGCATATGTTGTTTCAAGTTCCGTATTGACCAACCTTGACAAGTCACTTATCCTTAGTTGACTTGCTCAGATGGTAAATCAGGATGATAATAATCTATTTCTGGGCTATACAGATCAAATAAGAGAATGTAGGTGAAAGCATAAAAGAAAGCATTGTTAATGGTGGATAATGTCATTGGTTATTTTGAATTTTGATAAATAATGTGAGCACTGAAGAGGGAACTGAGCAGTTTTCTATGCAGTGAATAGTTCTTTTATAAAAATTACCCATATATTTGGTTATTACATTGTCAAGTTTTTATTGGGGAAGAATATACACCATGGCAGAAATGTATTTTTATATCATTTACTATTCATAATTGTCATGTTTTTGTTTTTGGCGGTGGAATCTAGCTAAAGATTAAAAGGTTCTGGAAAGAAAATTAAAATCCTAAAAAGACAGAGCAGAGTGTCTTGTCATCGAGAAGAGAGTCTTGAAAATTCAGCTCATTCTAAAATGCTATATTTGGATTTCATCTTTTATTATCTTTGCAACTGTGAGCCAATTCCTTCACCTTTTTGTTCTTCCATTTTCTTATCTGTAAACAGGGATAAGAATAAGCTACTTGTCAGATTGTTGTGAGGAGTAAAATGAAATGCACCTAAATGGCACACACAGTAGATGTTGGGCAAATATTTTTCTTTCTCCCCACACACACTCATTGATACAAATACTGGATGAAGATAAAGGCTTGTTTGCAGAAAAAAAGGGGTGGGGGAAATGATAGTAGAAATTCGTCTTTTATGCTCAGTACAAGTTTTAGAAGTAACTGCTTGTTATATTGGGTTCGTTATTACTTGGACTGACTTTTATGAAAGTTTTCAAACATATTCAAAAGTAGAGTGAAAAGTATAACAAATCCTCCTATACCCAGTTTATTCTTTACAATTGGTTTAGTTTTTTCCTTATAATTCAGAATGTTACTTTTTGTGCTAGAAATTGTGAGTTCCTCAGTTAATTTTTGTAATTTTAGTGGCATGTTAACTTGTTCATTTGAATACCTCTCTATGATAAAAACTGAACAAATTCTATTTCTTTTTAATTGTTTCTTTCTGCAAGAAAAAAAAAAAGAGGGAAATCTCATCACAATTACATGGAAATACTTTGTATATGAGCATTTGGTTTACTTTTTTGTAGATGACCAAGAAAAACTATCTTTTGATCTGGTTACAAAAGTAGCATGTAAAGGAAATTTCCTAAGAAAGGTCCTATCTGGTTCTTATCCCTGTAACAGTAATAGTAATCTTACTACTGCTGCTAATGTTATCTTTTGAATACTTGCTATACCAAGCACTGTTCTAAAACCTGACATGTCGAGAATAATTCATCCTTACACTAATTCAGTAAGTTACTTTTATTTCCCCTGTTTATACAGATGAAGAGTTTAAGAAACTTGCTCAACACACACATCTATTAATACTAAGTAGCCGCACCAGGATTTGAACCCAGGCACTTTGGTTCTAGAGCCCTCACATAGAACTGCAAGAGTCAGTTTTATCAAGATATACCACAAGTATGTGCTGTTTGTTTGTGTTTTTGGTAGATGAACAGAAGGAAGCATATCTAACTCTTTCCGCTTTCGTTCTGTCCCCATATCAAACATCTCTTGTTCTTCCGATTCCCCTCATTTTCCTCCTTTAATAAAATTCATTTAAACCCCCAAATCAAAACCAAAACTATGAGGAAAAGGGTGCAGTGAAAGCATTTGTTTGTTACTTTTACAACGAGCCTATTTAGATTTTTCATTTTAAATTCAATCTTTCCTTTAGATTTTAGCTCCTATGAACTTTTGCCAACTTCCAATGCAACAGGCGTTTTGTTAACTTAGTAAACTGGAGCGCTCTCCCCAGTCAAGGCTGGGAGATGGGAGGGCATGGTGAATGTAAGATCTGAAGTAAGTCCATTATGCATGAATTATAAAATGACGGGGAGAGACAGGCTGAAGAAGGTAAAATGCTGAATACCAGGCAATGAAGAACCACGGAAGCGTGAAGGGGACAGGGAGTCGCGGAAGGGTTTTCAGCAGGAGTGACCTGATTTGCATTTTAGAAACGTGCTATCTTGGTAGCTAAAAGACCACATAGGAGGCCGTTGCGGTGATCCTGTGGAGGGAGTCATGGCAGTGGGGACAGAAGTGGATACACTCAAGAACCAGAAGGCAGAACTCACGATTGGATGTGGGGATTGGGGGAGAAGGAGGGGGAGCATCAGAGGTGACCCCTAGTTTTCTTTCTCTGTTGGGCTACTGAAGAGAAGAGAAGGAGAGGTCAACGTCAAGTGCTGCTTGGAGTTTCGACTGACTGAGAGATGACTTAAACTTAACTGCTAAGTGAACTATCTTGCCCGCTAGAACACCTACCGCTAGGGAAATAGGGCGGAGAGCCTGGGACAGCTACGGAGAGAAACGAGGGCTTCCCTCATGCCCCCTGCACGGTGTAGTTACTTTATTCTGGTTGTGTACTTGGTAGGCAGCAGTTGAATGCCTTGTTTTGATCTAACTTTTAAAGTTAATCATCCGGTTAGTAGCTAGCCCAGAAAGTCTTCATTTAATTAAATTTTTTGGAGTATTTCCTGTATGCGTACTACTGTACTAGATGGTAAAAACAGAGCCAAAGAATCATCTAATTTGCAATTATTGTGTGCCAATTATCTTGAAGAAATATTAGAAACTAAGCAATATGAGTTTTAATTGTGGCCCATTTATTAAATAAATCTGCTGTATGTCACATACTCAAGAAACAAATCATGAGGAGGCTGAAATCTACAGGAAAAGACTGGGAATACATCACAAATAATATAGCGTCACATAAGATCAAGTGCGTATAACAAGCAGGCACTTTGGAAATTATAGGTAGGAGAAGGCTTTGGGGTAGAATTGGGCTTGGACTGAACTTCGAAGGGTGGGTAGTGTTGGGGTAGTTAGAGGGAAGGAGGAAGTTGTTCTAAGTGGGAGAAAATATAAGTCGACATGTACAAGCAGCGTGGTGTACTTGATACGTAAGTAGAACGGAGGGTTTGCTTGACAGTGCGGAACTTCGCTTACAGAGGCTGATAACAGATTGAGGCAAAGAGCCTGGAATATCAGGTTGGGACATTTGGACTCTTATCCCACAGGCGGTGGGGATTCTTAGAAGTTTCGAGAAGGAGAAGAATCAGTTAATTCTATGTTGTAGGAAGCTTATTCTGTCAGCAGTGTGGAGGGGAAAAGAACAGCAATCTAGAAGGTTAGCATAACAGGATGCTAAGACAAGTTTTGACTAAAGTGCCAAGATGTAATAGAAGTTCTTACTTAACTGATACCTTTGTGTATTGGCATTTGGAAACCTGCCCTCTCTCGTTGATGATAGCTAGGGATTGCTCACCAAGTAATTCTCTTCATGACAGAGAACACAACTCTGTTATTGCTTGTTGCATAACCTTCCTCTAGTCCCGAGGAATCTGGCAGTGGTTCTAGCTTCTCGGCTGAGAAGCTTCTCTTCACACCCCACCCCCACTGTTGGGACCTATTGAGCCCACATCCGGCTTGTGGGAACTTACGCATCCTCTGCAGCAGGTAGAGGATGTCGATCAGGCTGACATGCATGTCCAGTCCACTCAGCGATATTTCTCAATGTAAATTAATACAGTGGCATTCTGATTAATAAGTTTAATCATTAGTCTACTTGACTCCAGCCAGTTCTGGGGCACTGACAGCACTGAGTTTCTGGACCTACACGCAGAGTCAGATCTCAGATTGCAGAAACTTGGTATCACCTGTGAGGCCTCTCGGTGGACCAGAAAGCTGGTTCGACTTCCTCTCTTGATAGTCACATCTTGCAGTGTGTCCCCTTGATGGGGGACGTGGATGTGTGAGAGAGATTCCGATTTGGGTATGTTGAGTTTTAAGAAATATTGGAACAGTCATATGATCGTACACGTGGTAATAACTGTTAATGCTTAAGAAATGTTTAATGGCAATGAGTCGAATGAAGACAGAAGATGTGGGCCTGGAGGACGTGTCCGGGCTGGAAATAGTGACAAAGTGCTGTTAGGGTGGGGTGATACTTGAAGTGTGAGAAAGGAAACTATAGAAAAAGAAGAGTCTTAGTCCTCAGGAAGGAGAAGAAGGAAGTTAAGCTGCCAGAAGAGAGGTCATACATGTATCCTAGAACTTCAGCTGGGGAGGTGGCGGGGATGGGTGGCCAAGAGAGTGGAAAAAGAAAAAAATATGTCCTAAAAGTCAGCAGGGATGGCATCGTGAAAGCCAAAGAAGGACTTTCAAGGACAGAGTGATCAATATTAATTACATTAAAATCAACTTTCAGCTTCTGTGATTTGGCAGATTCTTTGTGTTTTAATTTTCTTATTTCCATGTCACAGAAGAGACAGGCTATGAAGATGTTACAGTGTTAAGAATAGCAGGAGCTGTTCAAATAAATGAACTAAAATAGATTTGCTATGTTTTCAAAAGGGCTTGAATATTTAATTTTGATTTTGAACATTCAGATTAAACAAAATGCATGGTATTTTTGTGTGTGTTCTCAGGTATGATAAGTATTCTCAGCAACATAATAGTTCTGGGCATCTTCATTAAGTACAAGGAACTTCGGACACCCACAAATGCAATTATCATAAACCTGGCTGTTACCGACATCGGGGTCAGTAGCATTGGCTACCCCATGTCTGCTGCCTCAGATCTGTATGGAAGTTGGAAATTTGGATATGCAGGCTGTCAGGTACTGGAGATCTTTGGAGTGAAAGGAAAATAA